CTATTATATTTATTATTTATTTTTATGGGTATTTTTATAAATGCATTTTTTTTATAATCAGAACTGAAAGACGTTTCCTACAGTTTATTTTTTTCTTGGTTATCAATAAATACCCCATTTTATTTATTTATTTAGTCGCTGGAATCCTTTAATTTTAGCTTTTAATTTTAGCTGAATTAAGTTTTCTACTACATTTATATTCTTTTATGATTATAGAAATGCTATTTATTTATAATTAGAACTGAAAGTCATTTTCTACAGTTAAATTTTCCTTGTTTTGGCCCATGGTGCGCATACGCAATAATTAAACGTCAAAATTTAAGCAAATTTCATATTCCTATGCGCAATTGCGTTTATGATTGTGTGTGTGTGTGTGCGTGTGGGTGTTGGTATGTATGTATTTGTGTGGTTATTTTGCGCACATGAAGTAAATTTGCAAAATTGCTGAAACAAAATGATTAACTCACTAGCAACTAGGAAGCTGGAAGCTGCGAGCGAGCTCTGTTCATTGTCTCAGAGCTCTCACGCAACTTTTTGCTGTCATTTCGAGTAAATTTTTCATTTTTATTATTGCGCGCCATTTTGTTTCGCTGGTCACCCATCATTGTGAATGGTGCCCCTGCTCTTCTGCTCTTCTGCTGCTCTGCTGGTGTTGATGCCGCTGCTGCTCTCGGCGACAGAGATTAATGAGGCAGCGTCACATTTAGTTAATTTTGATGACTGCCACACTGGCTGACTATTATTGTTGGCTCTGTGTTTCGCTTCTTCCGTCCGACTCTACATTGAGTTGTGAATGTGTAAGTGTCTGTGTGTGTTTTTTGTGTGTGTGCGGCGCTTAGCAAAATTTAATTGCTAACAACAGGGTACTGTACTTGCTAACAGTACCCCCGAAACTCCTCCGCCACCCCGTCTCCCGCTGTGTTATTATTATTATGCTGAGCATTTCGTTTTTGGAGTCTAACTGCGGTTCATTAAACTGGTGCGTTTCATTTGTCATTTGGTTGGGCTGAGCTCGTCACACCAGCAGCAGCTAAAAACTGACGCACTGTTTTAATTTTGCATAACAATTGAAACGTATTCGTCAGATAAACTTTTGTTTTACGCCCCATTGTCTATGCCCCTGGGGTGTTTTAAAGTTGATTTTGTTTTGCAGCACGTAGCGTGCGGAATTTTTAAGTAGGTCCTTGAACTAAGCTTAGCGTGAAGGTGAACGGTTAATGACTTTTAAATAGAGCTTTAGTTGCAATGAACCGATCAAGCAGTTTGTGGGTCTTTATTTATTAGCAAGCTCAACAAATTTGCACATCAACGTAAGGACTGTTGCTAATTTTAAAGTTTAACAGCAGTAATACGTTCTGCGCATCTGAATAGAAGATTTATAAAGTTATAAAGACAAGGGCGCACAGACATCAACCAATCTATATATAATTGCTGTATCATATGAAGACCACTAAATAGGCATCATTGCATATACTCTGGAGTTGTTCAGAACATAGCAAATGACAACAATTTTTATTTATGACATTCAAAGAAAATGTGCTTCAAATTGGTTTATGACGTCACTGTGCTTATAAGTATGTTTATACCCTGGATCCGTAGGATAAAAATGGTATATTAGGTTTGTGCAAAGTATGTAACAGGCATTAGGAAGCATCTGCGAACCCATAAAAAATAAAAATATCTTAATCAGTATGAGGAGTGACATCGATCTATCAACCATTCGTCCGTCCGTCTGGATGAACGCCTGGATTTTGTAGACGGCTGGGCACACATTAACCAAACGCAGCCCAACAAATCTATATATAATTGTATAATTATGTTTTAAATTTCATTGAAATCAGTCAATTCTAAAAAAAATTATTAGCGAAACAATTTCACTCCAGTATTGCTCTTCTTCTTCTTTATTGTGGTCGCTGCGAATTACTTGACATTTCAAATGGCAATGCGTATATTTTTTAATGTTAATCTTTTTGTGGGTCGAATGCATTTCGATTTGTTGTTTGCGTGTGCGTAGGTGTTGTAAGCCTCTTTGTGATATTACTTTTAAGTATTTCTTTTGTGTTTCTTTGCTGTCGCTATTTATACACCTCTTACTGTTTGCTTCACTGGCTTGCTATTTATATAAATGTAATTGGTTATGATTTCCACGTTCATGTTGTATTTCATTTTCTTTGTGCAGGTGGGGCTTTCTTGCTTGTGCTTGTTTGTGCTTTCCATTTTATTATCTTTTCAATTGCTTGCACTGCTCTTCAACTTCGTTTGCCTCACTTATAAGTATATTTCTTGGTTACCTCACTGGTTTCTTTTTCTGCTTAAGTTCCCCTGCCATTGCCTGTGCTTTTTACACTTAACACGTTCGCTTGCCCCTTTTAAGTAAGTTGTCAGTGCATTTCCATGGCTACGGCATACAATAATTACATACTTATTATGATAAAAGCCGTGCCACATTAACAGTTATATATTTCTTAATTAAATTGATAGGCAGCTTCAGTCGATTTGCTTGAACTCCAACTCCTCGTATGCATTTTAATTAAAGTTTATTATGCCCAACCACCCAGCCACTCAGACCCACACACACACACACACACACACACACACACGCACATAAAGCCAAACCCGGTCAGCCAACCTGCCAACCAACGAAGGACCTGCTACTCTGCTGTGTCGGAAATGCAAAAGTCTGCCCAGCAATTCTTTGGCCATCGTGATGACTGCTGCCACTTTTATTGTTTGTGCAACGAACAAAAACTGCAACAACGGCCAAGTTGAACTTTTGTTAATGAAAATAATGCAATTACAATAACAACAACAACTCCACTCTTAACAATGCCAGCCACTGGCAGGCGATGCACGTCATGTGTGAACGTGTTTGCGGTTTGCCGGAGCTCACAATGACGATTGCCGCGATGATGATGACGATGACGAAGACGGCAACAGCAATGGCTCCACACAGTGGATTGAGAGATATGCAAATTTTAAATTCTATGCTAATAGCTGTTAAGTGTGTGTTGCAACGAGTATTCCCATAAAAAACAACAACTATTCCACATGCCACTGGAAAAAAAAAGGTTGAACAGGAATTTGCTGTGGCAAATATTGGCTTCATCTACTCGTAAATTATCTACTGATTTATTATATATATTGTAAATATATTTTTTATTGAATGAAATGTTGCCTTTATCTGAAAATCTGTACAAAACACATGTTGCTATTAACAGAATCATAGCCAGACCTTAGCTAAGTAGTACGGTAATTTTCTTACAAAGACAAATGTTAAAATTTTAATTTACGAAATATAAATAATACTATTATTATTGTTATAAACAATCAACTTTTTGGCGGGTTAAACCCATCAAAGTAGGTTTTGTATTAAAGCCTGCTTGCCAAATGTGTGGTCGTTAGCTGTTATGGTTTAAAATTTATCGACGTTCATACAGACAGACGGACAAACAGTCGAACAGATAGACATGCCGATATAGATTGATCTTATTATGCTTATTCTATAAGTACCTATGATAGGGGGGAGTCTGTTCTGCCTATTACATGTATTCAAACTACTGTGAAGTTTTTACACCTTGACTATTTTGCAAAATTTTGAACGATATCTGAACATTTTCATAAATGTTTGATCAATTTTGTGTCAGTGTGTGATGCCAGTATTGTTGTTGTTGTTGTGTTGTTTGCTTTGCTGGCAGCGGCATTGCCTGCAATTGGTCTTTCAGAAACTTTTCGCCCTGTCTGCATCTGTTCAACGCCTCGCTATCTATGTTGCTGGAGATGGTGGTGATGGTAATGGTAGTGTGTGTGTGCGAGTGTTTGTGTGTATGGGTGTGTGCGTGGGTGTGTGTTGATGTGTTTGCTTAATGCAATTAAGCGAAGCGGAAGTAATTCTGCCAACTGCCTGACTCGCGGCCTGGCAGGCACATTCGGCTAATGAATCGTTGCAGTTGCCGCTACGCTCGTCTGTCAAACGGGCTGGGAATAAGACGGAGGTAAGACAATGTGTCGAGCAGGAGCAATGCTGTTGTTGTTGTTGTTATTGTTATTGCAACATTTCATTTCGTTTTTCTTTTCTTGCTATATTTTTTATTATTTTGAAAAGTGTGCTCAAGTTTTAATTTCTTTTTGTTCGCGCAAGTATAGAGCTGCTGTTGTGCTGCCTTTTTGTTTCCGCTCTCAGGTCTGCCAGCACCAAAGCCAAAGTTAACGCCAACGCCAACACCAACGCGAACACTCCTGCAACTGCAACTTGAGGCAAGTGGCTGTTGTTGCTGTTGGTTTTGTTGCCATTTCCTTTGCCTTTTCTTTTGTTTTGTTGACTGCGTCCCGCCGACTGTGGGCTCTTCAGCTTGCGGCTGCCATTATTATTACTGCGGTGTGCATGCTAAAGTGGGCCACAGAATGCAATTTGTTATGCAGGCGACGCGGCTTGGAATTTGATTACCAGCCAGCGAAGGCAACGCCTCCTGGTTTAATACCAAATGCCATAATTATTGTCAGTCCAACACTTTGCCCTTTTTCCCACACACACACACACACACACACACACACACACACACACACACACACACACACTCGCACACTCGCACATACACTCAGACAGCCTGACACTTGCCCGGGGGCCAAGCGCAAAGATTGCACTTTGTTGCAAGTGCTAAAAAGTTGAACAAACAGAACAGCACAGCACAGCGCAGAACAGAAGAGAAGAGAAGAGAAAAAAACAAACAACACCAACAACAACACAGTCTGAGGCAGAGTTCAAACAAACAGGCCAGCAGGCTGTCAGCTCTGCACGCGGCATGGAAGTGAAAAGTGAAGAAAAACTACGGCCATATGTTAACAAAGTTTATGCAACTTTGTAGCTGCCATTTTGTGGCGCAATTCAACTCGTACCGCCACCCCCTTTAAGTGGCAAGCAAGGAAGCCGCCACATGAAACCGACTCCAACTTAATTCACTGCACATCAGTGCAGAGAAGTAATTGAATTGAATTGAATTGAATTGAATTGAATAATATACTATATATACTTGTATATATACAACACATATTGGAAATCAAAGTAAAGAAACAGCGTCCAAAAAAGTGCGTTAATTTCAAAAAAACATTCAAACATTAATGCTTCCAATTAGTAATATCTAACCGTATGCCCATTGACTTTTCTATCTCAATTTGCGGATTGGTTAATTTCACATTATATTCCGCTCGGTTCCCAAAGTCTTCAAATGACATTTCACGCACACGCCCGGTCAGTATTTCATCCATATGATGGCTAGATGGCAGACAGGTTAATCGGCCGACTTTACTGGCCACTGAGCGTTCCATTAGCTTGACCATCGGGGATGCCGTACCGGAGACAATACCCAATATTCGCATATCTTGGTTATACCTATTGGCGAGAAAGCCCCTTTCCGCGACTTGAAATGTATCCTCCTCATCCCCCAATTGGGCCAAGCAGGTTTTATTTGCCGGCGTTATCGGCTGGCCAGTGGCACACAGAATTGTGCCGGTCGCCGGCATCAATGCTTGGGTTGGTGGATAACTCATTTTTTTTAGCACTTTAATTATGATCAGTGAAATATATAGATAAATTGCTAGTATAGAATTTGGCTTTGTAGTTGACACTGACAGTTTATTTTGTGTTAAAAACAATTCAATTTAAATACGCCTACTGCCCTGCTCCAAAACAGAGGCACATTCTAAACAATGTGGGGATCGTTTCTGTCTATTACGAACGCGTTTCCCCTAATTAACCAAATTGTAATTCTCACTCTCTGGGATTTCTGTCCAATTCGCTGTTGTTTTACACTGAAAGGTAGCATTCGGCATAAGTTTACAAAATTTGACAGTTTCGGCAGCGTTCAAAATATTTGCTCGATCACAATCGTTAATTAACACTGGTACTATGCCCAGTATGAATTCTCTTCCTGAATCGGTATAATTTGCAGCAGCTTCGCCATGAATCCTTATTAATTTATTATTTTAACGTTTACGTCAGCGCCACATTTTAGAATTTCACAATTTACTATCAAAACAATAAAAAAAAAATCTATATACATTGCCTTTCCAACTACCTGATTTAAAATAATGTTTCATAGATGGCGCAGCTAACTAACTTGATGTGGGAAGTTCGTATGTTCCCTACTGAATAATACGGATGTGTATAACATAAAACAATAAGTACTTTATTTAAGCTTCGCGCTAGCGGTTGTTCAAGCAAGGTAGACTCCTGGAGATCGATTCGTACATAATATATAACGAACTACCTATTCAAATTAGTTAAGCTTTATCAGCAAAAGATGGCGCTACGTAGAGTTTCCACATTGATATTCATTGAAAGATTAATAGCCACTACCAACAGAATAAACAGTAGTACAAAATATATGTACACATTTCCATTCCAACTGAATATAAACAGACTACCAAATTTGAAATAATGTTTAATAGATGACGCAGCTAACTATTTTGATATTCATTCAAAGTTAAGAAGCCAAGATCAAAACAATAAACGGTCGTACAAAAAATCTATACACATTGCCATTCGTGCTTAATAAAAAGGGACTACCTAATTTGAAAAAATGTTTCATAGATGGCGCAGCTAACATTTTGATAATCATTGAAAATTAAAGCAATAAACGATCGTACAAAAAATATGTACACATTGCCATCTAGATAAATATAATGAATTGAAAAAATTGTTTCATAGATGGCGCATCTAACTATTTTTCATATTCATAGAAATGACAAAAAATTATTGCTGATATTAGGCGTTTAAATGCGATTGGCTGTAATAGATCAGGTTATCTACTATTGGTTTGGTTTTTCAAGTTTTAGATCGTAGCAAACTAAATATATATTAACTAACTGAATTTGGTGTTTTAATGGTTTTCCGCGGCTAATTATTGGGTAATACTGGATAAGCCAAAAGGCTGTTAAATTGGACGTGCAACTCCTAATGCTCTACAAGGCAAATTGCATGCAGCTAAGTGTCGGGGCAGCTAAGCAAATTATCGACAGTTTTTCAATCCAGCAATCCCCCTCTTACATAATATATATCGAACTATCTAATCAAATTAGTTAAGCTTGATCAGCAAAAGATGGCGCTGCGTAGAGTTTCCACATTGATATTCATTGAAAGATTAATAGCCACTACCAACAGAATAAACAGTAGTACAAAATATATGTACACATTTCCATTCCAACTGAATATAAACAGACTACCAAATTTGAAATAATGTTTAATAGATGACGCAGCTAACTATTTTGATATTCATTCAAAGTTAAGAAGCCAAGATCAAAACAATAAACGGTCGTACAAAAAATCTATACACATTGCCATTCGTGCTTAATAAAAAGGGACTACCTAATTTGAAAAAATGTTTCATAGATGGCGCAGCTAACATTTTGATAATCATTGAAAATTAAAGCAATAAACGATCGTACAAAAAATATGTACACATTGCCATCTAGATAAATATAATGAATTGAAAAAATTGTTTCATAGATGGCGCATCTAACTATTTTTCATATTCATAGAAATGACAAAAAATTATTGCTGATATTAGGCGTTTAAATGCGATTGGCTGTAATAGATCAGGTTATCTACTATTGGTTTGGTTTTTCAAGTTTTAGATCGTAGCAAACTAAATATATATTAACTAACTGAATTTGGTGTTTTAATGGTTTTCCGCGGCTAATTATTGGGTAATACTGGATAAGCCAAAAGGCTGTTAAATTGGACGTGCAACTCCTAATGCTCTACAAGGCAAATTGCATGCAGCTAAGTGTCGGGGCAGCTAAGCAAATTATCGACAGTTTTTCAATCCAGCAATCCCCCTCTTACATAATATATATCGAACTATCTAATCAAATTAGTTAAGCTTGATCAGCAAAAGATGGCGCTGCGTAGAGTTTCCACATTGATATTCATTGAAAGATTAATAGCCACAACCAACAGAATAAACAGTAGTACAAAATATTTTTTTAGGGACATTTTAATTTTAATTATGATTTCTTAATTGTAGAAGTTCTTTTAATTTTAGAGTTTTTTGCATGACATCGACTCAAGTCTGTACACTTTGTGGCCAATTTATAATGTGTGAGCATATAATAGGGCATTAATCCACCCAAAAAGTTACCAAATTAAAAGGGAGGAGAGATATGTACATACATACTATAGGTTTGTCGACCATTTGTCGACCAACAAGGGAGCAAGTTTGCAGTAAGGTGACAGTATTTGTTAACTAAGCCAGCCAATCTGCACTGAGCCCACTTATTGCTCACACAGCAGTCCTAAAGCTGTAATATAGGCACACACACACACACACACACACACACACCCCTACACCTTTGCACACTTTCTGGCAGAATTTTAACACGCCTTTGCCATTTGGTTACAGTGCTTCATAATTTAAATGGGCAAACCGAGCAATAATCCTTAATTGCTCATTTTACTTAAGCATATTTTCTTCTGCTCGGGCTGGCCCACGCGCTTTACCTTTTCCATTTCATTTAAAATGCCCAGCGCAAACAAGGTTTACGGCTGAGCTGGGGGAGGGGGGGACCGGCTGCACAGGACTTGGTAGCTCGACCGCCTTTCTGTATGCTACGCCTTCCATTATGCATGTGCCGAAACACTCACACATATATACACACACACATACACACACAGTTTTAGGCCTTTCAGCGAACTGGCGTGTGTATTCACTTTGCTGTTGCACAAAGATGTTGAGCGCTGAGCAGAGGACGACGGATGTGCACTTGCAATTTGAGTACAACGTGGCGTATGCAAAATATTTGCATTGATAAACAGCTTGCAGCGCACTCAAACGCACACACACTCCCACACAAGCCATGCATAGGTGGCACGTGCTGGCAGCTTCGCCCCTGTGGCCATCATAGCGCCACCGCAGCACTTAAAATTTTTCATTTAAAGTTTGTTGAAAAGGCAGCTGTGCGGCGTTCCCTTCTGCCACAGCCAGAGCCACAGCCACAGCCACAGTCTCACCTCTCATCTATGCAAAGGCTTATCGATTGGCATAGCGACACAAGCGACTCATACAGCGCCAAAGAGCCGCGCTGGTATGCAAAGGAATTTGTATTATTATATCTTTTCAATAGCATTCAGTTTCTACACCTCTAGTGGGTGTAGAGTATGCAGGGATAGGGCTAGGCAGCGACATGCAAACAGTGGTTTGAACAGCTCGGCTATTTTTCTTATTTAAGGCAGAAGTGCAAAGCTTTAAATTTATTGCAAAGAAAAGTAAACTCTTGCAACCAAAAGGAGCTAGAAATTGAACAAAGTAAAGAATGTTTTAAAAGTGTACGAACTAGAAGATATGTAAGAAAAGGAAGAAAATTCGAAAGTTATATTTTTAAAAAATCAAAAAACAACTTTTATAAAAAAAATGCAAAGTAGAGAATTAAAGAATTTCCAAAAGTTAATAATAAACCCACTTTTTAACAAATACTAATTTATAAAATAAATACCTTTATATATTATTATGCCTTTATTTTTTATATTTGCATCTTAAGGCATAAAATAAAGCTCCCTAAAGCTGTTGTTTATATTCTAAAAGAAGCTTTAATATAAAATTTAAAGAAGTAGAAACATTAGCGTCTTTTGGATCAACATAATGTTCGCTCTATAATTTTTTCAAGTTGTTCAGCAAGACGGCCAGCTTGGCATCTTTTAAGGGTATAGTTTATATTTTAAAGTAAACTCCAATCAAAAATTCAAAGAAGTAGAGACCCAGCATAGCACTAAAGAAGTTCTAAGACTGTTTAGCAGCTGGAGAAATATTTTTTTGACTAAATCGAAATAAATAAATTTATGAAAAATATATATTAGTATTATCCAGGATTGGAGAAACAACAGCGTCTCATGGAACAATATAAAGCTTGTTTATATTTGAAAAAAAAAAAACCCAATAAAAAATTCAAAGAAGTGGATATCCAGCATAGCAGTAAAGAAATTCTAAGAGTTAATAATAAATCCGCGGTTAATAGCTAGACAAATATTTGTTTGACTAAATCGAAATAAATACATTTTATATAAGAGATATATTAGCGTCTCATGGAACAAAATAAAGCTCCCTCTGCAGATCCTATCCCTTCTGCGGGGAAGCATTGAGTTCTCAGCACCTACTTGGCCCCTTCTTCCCTTTTAGAATCTCCCTCACTTGTTGACATAAAAAAAATAAACAAAAATTAAACCCAACCCTGTAAAAATAATTAAATTAACATCGAGTCGAAGGCCCTAGTAGCTAGCACTCGCTAATCTAATATTAAGTTTACTATAAAATACAAGATTTAATTTGTTGAAATAAAATAAAATAAAAGTTCCCTCTTTAGCCGATCAGGCAGTTCTTTGTATTTGAAATTGTTAGCCCTAATTTACAAACTGCTTTTAAGCCACTGTGCAGCAGTCGTTAGCTAAAGGTTAGGGGTGTTGAATTTATTGATTTATTAACTGCACTGAAATGAAAGGGCAGTCTATTGCCTGCCTGCCTGCCTGCCTGCCCTTCACCGAGCAGGGCACAGCACAGTTGCACCTCTCTGGCATGCAAGTAATA